AAAGCAATTTATTTAAACATAATAAGAGACTCCCAAGTAACACACAATACTAAAAATGTCCAAATTAGAAATTACTCCTCTTCCTCGGACTCATCTTTCCAACAGCTTTTCAGAGTTGATCTAGGAGAACAACAGTTACCAGTCCTATCGAACTTCTGGTAGACCATGGAACCACCCTTCCCAAGCTCCTCAAGGCTTCTCTCTTCACAACAGTATCCCTTCACATCCAACAAGCTCTTCTCCTCCAGTGACCTAACACCAACATCACCGTGAATAGCAATTGAGAATTGACTTGGATTAAAACAAGCCAACACCCTCCCAACCAACTTGTTCAGGTTCACATTTTCAACATCATATCCCACGGTTTCAAAGCTTGCATAACTGAAGCCATCTTCAGGAGTCACATGAATGGTTGATATTGCAGCACCTTCGACGGAATTCATGGAATAACCACAGGGGTCAAACTCAAAGTCACAAATCTTCGAATCTGGAAGAATCTTTCTAATGCCAGAGTTAATAGTCATCAAAGCTGCAGAGCCTGATTGATCTTTATAAAAGACAGACGCCGAATCCCTGTCTAATCCAGTCATGCACATCTCCATCGTATAAACAGGGCTACAAGAGATAACCATATCTGCAGAAGCCAAATACACATGCCACTGTTGTTTCTTATCCAATCCACCCATTACGTACGCCTTGCTCTCTGACCCAAGTTTTCCAAAATAGCTGTCAAGAACAGCAACTTCTTCTGAAAAGCTACGATGAGGATATGACTGAGCTCCAGGGAATATGAAACTCCCACGTGAGTACCTCACCGATCTTACAGCAAGAGAGAGTGAATCCGCCAACTTCAGAATGGGTGGGATTGAAAGAAGTAACTTTGTAGTCCCACAAGTTTTAATGATGATCTTGTAGGGATACACAAATAGGCTTGACTCTGAGAGGACATATGAATCAACATCGTCATTAGAGAGAGATGAAACTATAGTGCATTCAGCAGGTCCTAGAATTTCATCCAACTGGGCTCTGGAAAGGGATCGAATGCCCTTTCCTTCAAGATCGGTAAATAACCCAGGCTCAAAGAATGAGATCTCCAACCTCTTTTCATAACCTTCAAACCCAATTGCAGAGACTGTTGTGGCCATGTTGACCGAGAGAAGATACAACACTCAAATGGCTTTCCCAATGGCAAGACAACAAACTCACAAGAGGCTACCGATGCAAAGAGATTGCAGTTGTAAAGAGAGTGAAAGAGGAAGAGGTCAAATAGAGAAAAGGAATTAAAAGAACTAACTACAGCTAAACAGTTATTGATGAACCACGATCAGCGGTAAGACAGCAACTTAAGAATATCAGGATGGCTTGCGAGTGAACTGCACAGGAAAACAATAACAATAAAGTATCAGGAGTGTTCACTTGTCTTCCATTCTTTTTTCTGAGTAATGGAATCATAAGCAGGTTAAAAAATTAAATGTGATCTTAAAATCAAACAATAACAAAACAACTGCAAAGTACTCACGTTGGAGTATGCAGCAGATCTGAACTTCTTGATTCCACCGTTTGGTCGAACGTCCTCAATGCTGTAACCGAGAGGGGCTTCGTAGAATAAAGATTTACTACTACTACTACTACTAGACTTCTTTTTCCCACCTTTAGACTCCATTAGTTCATTCAGTCTCAACACCTGACCAAAACCATCCGTGATAACATGAGCAAATATTAAAGGAAGCACGAGTTGGAAATTAACCAATGAAAAACTAAGTCATATTTATTCGGACCAAGATAGAACATATGTAACTGAAAGAAAATATATATATACAAAAAGGGTGAACTGACAACAAGGAACAAAGAAAATGACTTATTCAATGGAGGAGACATGGGGAGGTTGAGACAGTTGATAACAAAAATTGCAAGTTGATTAGGCAATTTGCAAGTTGATTTAATTTCAGTCAGGATATGACTGAGCTGTAGGTAAATTTATGAAAATACAAATCAAGAATAAGCTTTAGGTATAACATTGAAAACAAAATTTAAAAAGAAGAATAAATTAGCTCATAAGGATAAACCTAACTAGGAAGAACATATAACGAGATGCACATTCAGGTAGAGCAATAATCAAGATTGGATTCTTTGGCAGTTGATTATTTTATTAATAAACCAAATGATATCATACCGTGTATTATGGACAATTTCGCTATTCTTGAATCCAAAAACCTTTATCTCAAATCACATTCCAACCAAAGCTAACTAACGATTTAACAAAGATAAAGTAAAGTAAAAAAAAAAAGATGGACTGCAACACATTACAAAACAAAGTTAAAATAATATTGCATCAAGATCCGAATAAATTCGATTTATGAAGAAGAAAAAAAAAAACTACTGCATTGCGACAAAAAAAAATCCAATAGAAAGGTAAATAATAATGCATCAATATCCAAACAAGAGAGTCTTACAAATTGCAAAAAGCAAATTTAAAGCTTTTCTAATCACAACAAAATGGATTTGAACTCTAAAATCAATCAGTGGCGTGTACAAACCGGAAATCGTAGGAAGATATTGTAATACGAATAATCGGGAACCGATCAAGAAACAACAAGAACTAACACACATAAACAAGAAACAAGGTATTCATATGAAAACTTACAAATGAAAATACGAAAAGGAATCTCTCGCGTCACAAATCCAAGTAGCACCCTTAATCGCTCAAGTCGGTCAAAAAAAATCCTGAGAACAGAAATCAGAGAGCGATTAATAAAATGCGATAAAGCAGTAAACTAATTGGTAAGAAGAGAAGATCGAACCTAGCTGTTGACTGAAGGATAGGCAGAAGGGGGGGAAGTCTACGGCCGAATTGGAAGAGGAGAACAGACGCCGGTTTGTGAGTGGGAAATGACCTAATTACGAAGGAATGGGGAGGCCCTCTCCCCCCATGGCGTGGCGTTTTATATAGGAGCGGACGCTCACGTGATGGGCGAAATACCGTCTCGCCATCTTGTGTTTACCCCGAACTTTCCGTTTATTTTGACGATTCGTTTGGGCGGGTAATTGACTGAATTAACCCTCTCCTCATGGTCGATCTTAAGACTCAAACCACGAGAGGCGTGTTATCATTCGACTATTTTAACCTTTCTATTTGTGTATTTGTTTTGCAATTTATTTTATAATAAATTCCAAAATAAATTGAAAATAATATTGGGATAGGTTTTTTAATAATATATAAAAAAAAAAAGGGAAAAAAGAGATGGACGGGCGTCCATCTTCTTTAAGTGCAAAAACCCAATCCCGATAAGATTCTCAGATTTTGTATTTATTAATTTAATAAGGCCCCTTCTATTCCTGCCTCCATGGTTTTGTCTTTTTGTATTTTCTGGCTAATTTTGGTACATATAATATACTTTTTTTTTTTTTTTTTTTTTTTATAAATATATATATATATATATATAAAGATGCTTTGTCTTTGATGACAAGTTGGGAATTAAGAATAAATTCTTTGCTTTTTAAAGAAAAATATATTATTGAGCCAATTTGGATAAGGACAGGGAAGCATCAATTCGTTTCAGATTTGACGCGTATCGGGTTTTAAAGAGCAAAGTGGGCTTCCTTTGGTCTACGTGGGTTTGGAACCTGTCTTTTGCTTCGGCCCAAATCAATTCCCAACGCACGTAGTCTTCTGGGTCGCACTATACAACTTAATTTGCATATTAATTCTCATCATTAAGATAGTGATTTTTTATTCATAAAATAAATAGACTAATAATATTGGTTGATTAATTAGTGGCGGAAAAATGGATTTGGAGAGAATTAATAGAATACTGTTGGAGGGCGTTTAAGTAGGTGTGTGTGTGTGGGATTTAAAAAGTCAAACCCCACAACTTTTGATTTTTCCACATGCGACAAACCCACCTCTGATTACTTCCTTCCATAACCCCCCACCTCCCAACGCTCTTATGCTCGCTGCCTTCCTTAATTTCCCATTCATTAGTGTGTGTGGTTTGCTAATGAATTTGGTTTTATTTTTATTTTTATTTTTTTCAGAAAAATTCAAAAAGTAATTAAACTATTTTTAATTAAATTCTTCCTCTTTATATATGTATATTGAGAGTAAAATTTTCATTAAAAATATCTCTTGCAACCTTCAACCACTAAATTTAAATTAATCAAATTAATATAATGATGTACATTAAGCGAAGAAAGAATTTTCATGCACTCGGGACCATAAGCATGCATCACATCAAGTTATAACGTGTAGTACCAGTCCTAGGTTATATATATATATACACATATATATGAATTTATGATAATCTAAGAAGATGATAAGTACACGTATCTGAATTACATTTAAATGGTGTTTGATTAATTAACACTTGCAAATTAATCATACCCTTTTTTTTTTTTTTTTTTTTTTTGGGGTTATCATAACCCAATTTACAATTGAATATAAATAACCCATTGAGTTAAATTATATAACATTTGTGTGTGCGTGCGTGATGAATGAACTAAATTCATCCTGAGGTGGTACGAGTCCAACAGTTTGAATAAAGTAGGTAGAACAGAAGATCCGAGTAATGTAGTTGAGTTGGTAATTTATTCCCAGCACTCATCCACCCATAAGTTGAGTTGGTTGAACTTAAATACGCACACAACGACTTTTGGTAAATTCTCAGTGCTTCAATTTTCAGGGTTAACTCGAATAAATTTATTAGTCTCCTTCGTATCCTACCTTTGACACCCATTTTAGAAGCACTAACCACATTGACTCTAATTTACTTGTAAAAAAAAAAAAAAAAACCCTAAATTTTATTTAAAATGATAAAGTTTCGATCTGTATAGAATTCTATTTGGAAATAAAGTTTACATTTTTTTTTTTATTATTTTTTCTTGAATTTGTTATAAAAAGATTGCTTTGAACATTACCCAACACCTATATATATTGATAAAATCTTTTAGTCCCCATGTCATTAATTAGTAGTTAACAGAGTACGGTGGGTGGGTATTGAAAATATTGTCGGATCAATATTCATTTTTAGTAAATAAGCTTAATATTTCCTTGAAATATTAATTACTTGCATTTACATTCAAAGCTAATTAATTTGGTAGCTATAAATAGTAGTGGATGTAGAAACGAATTCGTCTGTACTTAATCAAGCTTCCTCCTCATGGAAACACTTGCTTACTTCCCTCGATGCCTCATCTTCTCTCTGCTCCTTTTTCTCTCTCATTCTCCTCACCGTGTATCATCACACGATCAAGTACAAATAGATGGTGAAAAGAAGAACTACTATCAACTCGACCTGCCCTCGGTTTCCGGCCCCGAAAGCATAGCCTTCGACTGCAACGGCCGAGGCCCCTATGTTGGCGTCTCCGATGGTAGAATCCTCAGGTGGGAAGGAGCAGAGATTGGATGGACCGAGTTTGCTGTACCCTCAATTAACAGGCAAGATTGTAATAAATGTCCATTTTATCTTTATTATAACACTATCTAAGATTGCATTCCTCCTATATATATACTCTTGGGAAGTATATTTGTCACTACTTGTCAGTCTCACTCAATTTTCATCTCGATTCTTGTTCTGTATGTTTTAAGTATCTCTATTCCTACCTTTTCTTGGATTAAATTTTCATTCATTAACTTTTATAAAATAGTTTTATACACTTCATCAATATATATATATATTTAGAGAAAGAGAGAGAGAGAGGTTTTTGTAGCATGGAGAGGAATTTTGCGGTTTTGTGGACAGAAAATTGCATGCATGAAGAACACAAAAATAACTCAAACGTTATGTAAAGATGATAAGTTGATTTTCTTTTGTTAAAAGTTTACTGCTAACCATTTGTTTTTTTTTTTATATCCATATTGTTGATATGTTGTGTAATAATTAATATAGGATATTATTGTATTCAAAGAAAATAATTTATTTCTTAAAAGTTGATACATATATATATACATATTTCATATTATATTTAAGGAAATTTTGCTGTGTGTTTAGTTTTCAAGTAAAACTAAATATTGGGGTATATTCTAAAAAAAAATTGAAAAACGAATCACCCATGAAAAATTATAAAATAAAAAAAAAAAAAGAACTTTACTAAACAAACCATAGACAAAATAAATGGAATTAAAACCATATACATATATTTGTATATATATGTTGTCGGCATATGTTCTGCATATTAATAATGAATTCAAAGTTATATATATTTCCAGAAACTGAAAATAAATAAATTGATGAATCATTTAAATCTGGTAGTTGATATTTTAATTAATGCTTCTGTGAGATTAGGTTGACTTGGTAATTAATACTTACTGATTAGTAATAAAGTTTTACAAATACACAAATTTTACATATATATATATATGTGTGTGTGTGTGTGTGTAAGAACAAAATTTAAATATAAAAAATCTATCAATTTAAATAAAATGTTTTCATTTCATATATAATCTAAAGAAAAACACCTTTTTAATTTCTTACTGTGGTCTCATTTATGAAGTCAATCCTCCAGCCGACAGCATGGACCCTGCTTCCCTGATCAAACTATAATTATATGTCAGTTTCTTCCACACCAAAAATCTATATGCATATTGAAATATGTTTTACGTATATTGGCAGAGATAGGAAGGCGTGCGACGGGTCAACCGATCCGAAAAGGGAACAGCTATGCGGAAGACCTTTGGGCCTGAAATTCAGCCCAGTGAGTTGCGATCTCTACATTGCAGATGCCTATTTCGGGCTTCTCTCCGTCGGCCCAAATGGCGGAGCCGCCAGCCAACTGGCCACTTCCGCCGACGGGATCCCTTTCCGGCTCACAAATGCTCTCGACATCGATACTCAAACTGGCGATGTTTATTTCACGGACAGCAGCATTTTCTTCCAACGACGGTATATCCCTCTCATCGTAACCATCTTCCTTTTCCTTCACAACATACTCATGCAAACATACACAATTTGCAGGGAATATTTCTTGGCAATCATCGGAGGAGACAAAACCGGGAGGCTGCTGAAATACGATCCACATATGAAAAAAGTAACGGTGCTGCAGAAAGAGTTGGCATTTCCAAACGGAGTGGCGCTGAGCAAGGACAATTCCTTCGTTGTTGTGGCGGAAACAGGGATGATGAGAATTCTGAAGTTTGAAATTCATGGGGATGGCGGCGGAGTTTTCGCACAACTGGAGCGTTATCCGGACAACATAAAGAGAAACGATCAAGGAGAATTCTGGGTTGCACTGAATGCAGTAAGAGGGAGAATTCAGGGATCAAATGTATTTGATTCGATTCCTAACTGGTTGAATATGAGAGATCCTGTGGCAGTGAAATATGATGAGAAGGGAAATGTAGTTAGGGTATTGGATGGAGACGGAGGAGAAACACTTGAATCGGTGAGCGAAGTGGAAGAGGAAAATGGGGTTCTGTATGTTGGGTCTGTGGTGAAGCCTTATTTGGGTGTAATTAAGAATTAATTACATTGTCTTAATGTAATTTTTTTTAATTATAATTGAGTTTAAAAAATATTTATATAAAAAAAATTGTTACATTTAATTACAGATGAGATGAGAACGAAGGATGAATTGGAATTATATCTTAAAAATATATAATAATAAAATTAAAATTTTAATCTCTAAATTCAAATTCTTTAATTTAAGCAGTGGGGCTTTTGGTCATTCCGCATCGCATAACTGACGTTGACTTCAAATTAATTTAATGTAAATAATTATAATTTTTTAATTAATTACCAAATTAATCCCCTTCTTCCCTCTCTAAAATTTTTTGAATCTTCCCTCCAAATACACTCTTCCTCTCCCTCTTCTCTCTCTACACTATCAATCTCTATCTATATGTATACACACATACATACGCACATGTGAATTGAATCGGAGAAGATTTTTCCAAAACTGCAAAGAATCTTCAATAAAGAAAAGTTGAATTCGCATGGCCTCCGCAAATGATCCCCAAGAGTTACACTTCTCTGGTAATCGCTCAATCTCTCTCTCTAATGCTCTCTCTCTCTCTCTCTCTCTCTAATGCTCTCTTCTTTTCTCTGAATTTCGACAACATGCGCAAGAAAAGAACAGGATGGATAATCCAGAAACTACAAGATTATTTTCTTTTCTTTCCTATTCTTTCTCTCTCTCTCTCTCTCTCTCTCTGAGTGGATTGGAACTGATTTCCGTTATCTTGGTTGATTTCAATTTTTCTTTATTTTTTTATGGGAAATTAACAACTCGATTCAATTTGCCATGGTATCGGATAACAGAAATCACCGATTTTTTTTTTTTTTTTTTCATTTCTTTCGTTTTCCTTAGCAATTTATCCAGGCTTGCCGCTTGTGGTTTAATGTTTTCTATGGAACAATAAAGTGAATAAAAGTATAGCCATCGTGAATAGTCGTATCAGGAAATAGAGAATTTAATTGAAATTTAGAAATGGTTAGATTCTTTTACACGATAATGAATTCAAATATATGTGTGCTAATAATCGACTTGTAAATTTTATATATATTTAATTCAAATACGTCATAAAATTATTGAATTTACTTCAGAAAGGAATTTTGTACAGAATCTCGTTTCCAGCATATAATATCTTTGTTATTTGAACACCCCTTACTCGGAAATTACAGAACTTCGATACGACCAAGTGGTAGTTTTACAGAGTCATAAATGAGTGCAATGACAGGTTTTTCAGACAATAGAAAGAAACTTGATGGTTTTCCATTGATTGATGCTGTGAATCCTCTGCGTAAGGAGGCTGTCATGGATTTGCTTTGGCAAAAAGAAAATTTGCCATCAGAGGCAAAGTATGATTTGCGCAAGAGCTTGGCTTGGGATAGTGCTTTCTTCACTAATCCAGGTATTCTTTCCGAGTTCAAGGAACATTAGTTGAATTGAGTTCACTTATTTTGATTTTTTCCTTCCAACCGATAGACGTTGTGTGTCTGTACATTCAGGAGTTCTGGATCGTGAAGAGTTGTTCGAGACCCTGAATTTTCTGGATGTGGACAATACAGTTGATGGATCTGGGCAAGGGAAACAGAAATCTCTACCTTCTGTATCTGTGGAGACAGAAATATCAAGAAGGATTGGAGACTGCAATGTGCGCAGAAGCTTAGCCTGGGATAGTGCCTTCTTCACCAACCCAGGTATGTCTCATTGTTTAGACATGAAGAACACGTGTTGTTCATTAATATGACTTCCCCATTTTCATTCCTACTGTCAAATTCTCAGTACCTCTTATGAGTATATTTTACATGCTAGGAGTTCTGGATCCTGAGGAATTATCTTTGGTAAACAACGGATATAAGAAGTCTGATGCGCATATTCTTCCTGAAATAGAAGAATTTTGGAGGTCTGCTGATTCAAATTCTACGGTAGATAGCGGCAGTTACTCTCTAGCAAACCTTGAGATTGATTTGTTTGATGACATCAGAGAGTCTGCAAATATATCAGTTCCCTTATCCTCGACTGCAGCTTCAAATGTTAAGCCAACACAAGGAGTGGACAGCGTGCCATATCTCCATGGCAAGTCTATATATTGCTGTTGGTAAAATTTTCCAGTTTTGAGTTCTAAAAGTTATAATGCTTGTTTTCCAATCCTTGATTTCTTGATGTAATATGATAACAATGCTTTCTCTTTCAGATGCAAAAAAAGCACTGGGCGGTTCTGCTCTGAGAAAGGTAAGTTCAGTTCTTAGGATATATTTTATATCTGGTGTTTCTTGGAGCATGTAGTTAGCTCTCTTCATTGCAGATGAAATCTGTGTCATCTTCCAGAAGGCAGAATACTAACAAACGGAGACTGGAGAGGACCTCAAAGGAGACTTCTCTTACCCTTCGAGAACAGGCATGTCTTCAGTTAACCATGATGTTTTTTTAGATTATTGCATTAATTATTCATCAATACTGGCGTCGCTGATACTGAGAGTGGGAACATCAAACTAGTTCTAAAACACAACAAGTGAGATAAAATTGCTATGTCCTTCAGCTTTAGTTCGTTTATTCCAGTTGATGCATTTGCTACATTTATTGATTCTGCAATGATGGGAAGCTCTTGTATATGATTGAATTTTTACCGATTATTTGTTGATTGGTTAAAGCATGCTGCTCGAAGTGGGGAATCCAAATCCTTCTCATCTAGGAAACCACCAAAGATATCAAACAGAACAAATGCTCAATCAACAGCTCCCTTAAGAGATGCTTCATTGGGTGCAAATAATGTTGAAATAGAAAATAAGGATTCAAAAGTTGCTTCAGGTGAGCATTCCTGTCATATTCATTATTTAAGTACTCAAACAGGCACATGAGTTTGCTGCTTCTACGTGAGATTTGTTTTGAATTTTGTTATGCTTACAGGGCAGAACAGGACCATGCAAAAAAAACTCTGTTTGGCAGACTCATCAAGTCTCATATCTAGTGCTACACTACCCCGAAATTCACCTTTTTCAGGTTCACTTTCCATCGCAAATGAGTCTGCAGGACCTAGATTTTCTGCATTTGGTTTCAGTAATGTTAAATCTACTTCAGATTTTATGAGAAGAAAAGCAAAGTCTAGGTTAGCTGTTTCTGATTCAACCTTCAGGACTCCATTGAGAAACTTTACTCAAACTAGCGAGTTAGTAAGCTCTGGTCAGTCAAATTTTCTATTGTCTACACCAAAGTCATCTTGTGCATCACTAGCTATCTCGACCGATGGATGGTCCTCAGAATCAAGTTCTTCTGGGCACAAAACATCTAGTACTTCTAGTCTAGGTATTAATCCTTCTGCAGTGGTTTTAGTAGACACAGAGACTGCTAAGACATCAGATTCAGATCATCATTATCTTGAGCAACCTTGTATCAACAAATCATCCCAGGAAATTAGTCCTGTGCCTGCCAATAATGGTCCAAGGCATGTCAAACCGTCAGGTCTTAGACTGCCTTCACCAAAGATCGGGTTCTTTGATACGGTCAGTTGTGACATTCATTTACTTGTTTTACTAATCTATCTGATGACATATTTTTTCTTGGTGGCAAACAATATTTCTTGAGTTTTTTATGCAATAAGATGTGCACTCTATGTTACTCGGACTCTTTAACTTCTGTGCCATGCCCATGTTGGACAAGAAATGACACTTGATGTACAAGTCAGAAACTTGATGATTTAGAACTGAAGCCAATACATAAGTGGAAGTTGAGAAAGAACAAAAATGAAAATGCGTATTCTTATGCTAAATTTTGAAGATTTTTATGTAGGAGTACTTAAGTACTAACTGATATCTTTTTTTTTCAGTTAACTTAGACATGAGTATACTAATTTTTTGTGCTAAACATCATATATACATGAGTATACTATGTATCTGCATTCAATTTCTGTACTCTTATCAACCAAGTCTGTGTGTTTTATACTGTAAAAAACTTACATCTATTCTATTCCATACATTTGCACCTAAGTGCGAACCTAATGATACTTTATCAAGTCTAGACTTCCAGTTTTATGAGAAACTTTCATCTTGACAGGGAAACTCAGGGAACGGAGTCATGAAGTTTCAGTCAGGGGTTGAAAGCGTTCCTAGAAGTGAAAACAATGTCAGTAATCTCAGTAGGGGTACTGGAAACAGAAGAGGATTTGACAAACAGAGAGCTTCTGAATCTTTTACAGGGAGCAAGAAGCATAATGATTCTCAACAAAATGAAGACGAGTTTAGAGGATCAAAAGCTACTTCGCCTAAAGCATCAACCTTCTCAACTGCTAGGAAAAGTAATCTTCTTGCGGCTGTCAAAGCTCAGAATGATAGATCTTTTGAACAAAGCAATGGAAAACGCTTAAGAGCTGCTGATTTGGTATCCAGTTCAAAGGCGGAAAACAAAGGAACTCAGAGGCATCTGAAGAATAAAATGAATTCAAAGAGTGATAGAAAGGTGTACCCAAAACCTAATAAGCAAGCTTTAAGAGGACCAGACAATGCCGGCTGCATGTCTAGCCATAGAAGTAATTTGCATATACTTCATGAAGAGGACAAGGAGAATCTATATGAGTTCAAAAACCGGGTTGATGATTTGATCCGACGGATTGAGATCATTGATTTTAATGGTGATCCATTTTAGCAAACAACTTTGGTATATTAATCCTGAACTGATATGGTGGATTGGTATCTTATTTTGTCTTTGGCAAATGGGAGAGTCTACTTTCTTGACAGAAGCAAAATTGGCTTGTTAGTTTTTGATTCAGACTTGTTGTGGAGATTGTTATAGGTTGAGCAAAGATGAGAAGTGCCATCAGAGAAATTTGTGAATTGTAGAAGTTTCATTAATGAAAAGAAATTACATTTTCCACTGTTTTCTTTCAGTTACAATTTTTTTGAAATAGTTTTTTTTTTTTTCCTATTTCTTTACATGAAAACATGTCTTTTAAAAGAATACATTCTTTGTTTGTGAATCTATAAGAATGAATATATTAAAATTCAAAAATTAAATAAATTAAAATGCAGGAAAAATTCGAAACACAAAATATTGAGACCAATACGTTAAAAGAAATAGTGTATGAACTATTGAGTGAAGTAACTTGTAATTTGCCAGTAATGAAATGGTAATGTGCAACGTGTACAAAGAGTACACTTCTTGTATACACCCGCATATATACAAATATTAGAGTTTCTGCAAGTACCAGAACTAGGTATGTACTCGCGTAAATATATATATATATATATATATATGCATATATACTGAAAGCATCCATCATGTTTGAACAGAAAAAGGTTCCAAACTGCAGTTGAAAGGAACGAAACTCATTGAAATTTTGTTTAGTTTTGCTGAACCTGACAACAAAATCTTAGAATAGATTTCAAGATGTGTATAGGTCTAGATCTATATTGGCTAGTCTGTCCTACAACACTCAGAGAACAAGTAATATCAACAAAATTACCTTAATATGAAAAATATCATCACTAAAACCACAAATCCAAAAGATCTTGTTTGAACAAACAGATTCAAGGCTTGATTTAAATTAAAATTTGTTCACAAAATTTGCCCATACAGGAATAGAAAAGCTAACGCTCTGACTAAATGGCAAACTAGGGCCGTGAGTGCTGTCTAAGACCTTGGCTTCTCCTTCTTCTCTTTGAAGAGAGCTAGGAGGGAGACACCAGATACCTTCACGACCTTGAACCTGACTCCAGGGATATCTCCCACGGCATGTCCTTTACGACCAAATCCAGCAATCAATACCTCATCCTGCAACAAATAAGCCAACAACTTATTTCTAGGATAAAGAACTCTCTGACTTATACTATTAATGCACACGCCATGCCATTCACAGGAAAATCTTATTTTAAGTTGTATTTTTGTGATATTGCTTTTTATATTTTCATATATATAAAACTGAAGAAGTCATGAAAGGAATCTCATTTTTATTGGGCTTACATTCTCCTCAATGAAATTTAAGCAACCATCATTGGGAACAAAAGCAGCAATTTTCTTGCCATTTTTGATCAACTGAACACGGGCACATTTTCTGATAGCAGAGTTTGGCTGCTTAGCCTCAATACCACTGCATAAGCCAACAGCAAAACCATCACATTCTGATCCCAAGCAATCATTTCACTAAAGCAGCAACAATGCATGGGAAAAAATGAAAAAGCTAATCTTACATTTTCTCAAGAACTATGCCCTTAGCATGGGATGACCCAGCGAATGGTTTTTTCCATTCATTCCCAAGATGGGACTTCTTGTATGACTTGTCAGCCCACCTCTGTCTCCTACGGTGAGACTTCAGCTTGCGACCAGCTCCCATTCCACGAGTCTTCCTGAAGAAAACATATAATAGAATTATTGACCTATTAGCTCTGAACAGCAGAGTTGAAACCACCAAAAATTTTCAAGTCCTATAAAAAATTAACTACTGGTTGTAATTCACCAGAATATTCTGCCTTTGAGCAAATGTTGACATTCTTTTCATGTTATGCTGTTCAGCTAACCTAACATGTTTCAGGAAAAGCAAAAAGCTGACTACCAATGGCAAAGTCTTACTATCTTCCCACCATTTAGGGATGCCCAAATATCGATACAAGCAGGTTTGGCAAATAACATTAACAACAGAAACATTCATAACCAATCAAACACATCAGCGATGGAAGCAAAGACCCATAACATGAAAAGCAAGAAGTTTTTTGCTCACCAGTTTTACATCATTTAAGGACTTTGGAAGACTTTAGCAAAGCCCATTCCAAGGTTAATCATTTCAAATCCAGTTTAAAGTGTTTAAGAGAATTGAACTCTTCCCTTTTTGAAGAATGACAAATTAACAAAAATAGAAGCAATTTTGAAGGAGATTCACGCAAGTACTTAGTAACTAACGTGCCTGTTCTTCCAGCCATATATAAGAATTTCTTGATCTCGTGCAATTTTCTATTATCCTCAACAAATGACAACCTTCTTCCCAAATCGTTTAAAGCATTCTAATTAACCTTCATCTCTTTGTCTCGAAAAGTAAGCCAATTGATGTAAGTTTAGGAGAACCACACCCCAAAAGCTAGCTATTGAAGTGGGAGAGCCCAAAATCATATCAACTCAACACCTAAGTGTAACGCCTTCGATGTTAGATCGAAGTCACTTTTACAACATAACACTAATATACTATAGTCCTCAATTTTTCTCATCATCTAATCATAGCATTATATAGCATGTAATGAAAGTTCAAAAACAAACAAAAAGCTCATCGGCTAACAAACTACAGAGTACAAGCACAATCTCGAGCACAAATGTGCCGTGTCATCACAAAATGGCATGCAATACAAACGGAAATAGGAAGACGTCGGAAACTATGAAAAATCTTCTCGATTAAAAAAAAAAAAAAATCTATACGAAAACGAGTTAGAAAGGACCGAACGTCTTTACCCCATCTTGGCAGAAGATTATGTTCCCAGAGATCGTAAGGAAAGAGCAGACGGAGACGGAGAAGAAGAACCGGCTCGCGAGGGGAGCTAGGGTTTGCGAGATTAGAGGTATTTATAGGTGAGAGTTCCCGTGAGCAATAGGGTTTGATACGTGTTTTGACAAAAGTAGTGCTGTCTTTTGAGCATATTTACGGATGTGTCCTTCCGGGAGGGTTGGAATCTGCAAAAATCACCGTTGATTACTGATTTTAAAATAATACAGATTAACATATTCAAAGAAAAGCTAAATAAATAAATATATATAATTTAATAATAAAATATACATTTTATTAAATAACATTAGAGAATCAAACTAATACAGCTTGTTACAAATAATTTTTTTTTTTTTTAATTATTTTATAATGGAGTATACGTCCAAGACTGCAAACGTTATTCACTCCGTTTAAATTTAGGAGTCGATTAGTGTATAATTATAGAAAAACTCCTTAAAAATCTTTTTAAAGTTAATTAAGACGTAATTAATTACATTAAGGAACATTTCTCTCATAACTCTACTGAGTTAAAACGTAAGTAATTAAACGGATCTTGGGTCGAATTTTTTTTTTTTTTTTATATTTAAGAATCAAATTTCCAAACATGAAAAGGAAATGTAAATTAATTCAAAGACGACAAACAACAAATATAGTTTTCTTGTACGTAAAATAAAACACAAGCCTACTACTTATCCAAGTAAACACGTAAAGGGCATATACAATCCCAGGGATGTCTGTAACCCAGTGTTGTCAGCAACAAGTCTATCCACAATTCCACCTGCATTTTCATAATTTCAAACCAAAATCACTTTCTTATCATCACTACCAATTTTTTTTCTTATATATATATATATATATATATATATATATTTACTCCACAATCATAGCGAAGAAAGACACCGAGAGGTGGGTATCAGGATAGCAAGTAGCACTTCCAGAAAAGTCTCTAAACCCATGAGAAAGATTGAAGGAGATGAAGATGAAGATGAACATTTTATATGAAACCTCGAAAGAAATAAACACAACGTAGCAGGTGTTCATGAGTTGTGAGCAGGTGTCGGGAGACGGTGATGAAATGTGGGTTGGTGTTTGACACATGTCTTTCTTTACGAGATTCTGACTATTTTTTATAATTAACTTATATAGCTATGTCCAAGAAAACGATAAATCTATACAAACTATAAACTACAGCATTCAATCAAATCAAACGGGAGGGGCGGACATATCCTAGCAAATTTCAAATCACATCATCCGGGCAAGTGAGGAAAATCTTCACCTATCAGAGAATCGTTATGTGAAAGAATACAAGATTGTATTAATAAATCCTAGTTACATGATAACACAATATTCTTAAGTCATTGCAACGGATCTATAGTCAGATAAACTGTTCAATCTTTAATCACTGAATCTTTAACATTAGTTCTTTACCAAGATTTCTTATTTCTTTTTCCTTAGGAAAATAATTCTATTCCTCAATATCCATGCACCATTTTGTTCGAGATCATATAATCTTTCTTAACAGGATCCTTTAATTACACATCTTCATCTTTCCTTTCTTTCTCTCCTTCTCTTGCAGTTGTCCACTGGCATACATTTCTTCTCGTGAATATAGTAATTTCTACATCATGGCGAAGCTTTTCCAAACCAGCTTTATCTTAATGGTTGTGTCATTACTATACTAACTACTGCACCTCCTTTAAATACAAGAATTCCAGTAGCCAACGTATTTCCTATTCCAGTTTCAATAGTTTCCAGCTTCAGAAATCAATGACATTCGCACAAACAACAGATTGTTATGATTCCAAGAAACACACATTAAAGAAACTGGTAACTGTAACGAAGTGAATCAGAAAGCACAAGCCCACAGATGATTGAAAGCATCAACTAAACCGTCTTCCCCTTTTTCTTTTTGGTAAAAGCTAACCATCTTTCAAAGGTAAATATTTTGTCCCTTGCATGCTTCACAAGAAACAAAATGTGACTTCAATGCAAAGAGAAGAAAAAAAAAACGCAACCTCTTAAGGACTCCTAGTCAAAATGCAAGACCATTCGACCAAAACCTCAAAATCAACCATTTGGCAGAAAAAAATCTTATGGAATGAATAACTGGAATCTGCTCAGCTAAAATACACTTCAGCAGCATTATTTTCTAACAATTAACAAGTTGGAGAACATTAGCGCATATCAATAAACATGAGCACATACCAATGCTCAAGGCTGATAAACCTCAGGAAGCTGAAGCCCCACACTGGCAGCTGATTTTCCAAGTATTCTTTTCATTTCATCTGATCTATCAACAGCAATATTGTACGAGAAGAGTAAGTCCTGCATATTCATTACCCATCATCATCAGGAATTGAGATAATAATTGAAAGAACATATAGAAAATAATTATTTTCCCTTGACAAAAGTCAAACAAGCAGCATAATATTTTTCCGAAGAACTTTTGAGGAGCTAGATTATACAGCCATTATAGATTTTAAGATTACAAACCTGAAAGAGAGCTCCATACAGACACAATGCAAACTCAAGGACGCTTACAACCTTTAAACCATTTTACAGATTAGTAAATCTTGAAAAGAATTTTGTTTTTTTCATGCACATCGCATCAATTCCTCTAACATCGTAAAGACAGCTGAATAGAATGAACTAAACACTGAATTTTATGAAAAAAATATTCCTTTTACTTGTTGAAGCTCAAAAAACAAATAAGTATAACTAAAACTAAAGTAACAGAAAAAGAGCTGAACCTTGTGATGGTGCACACTGTTGAGCAGGAAAGTATAATCATGAGCAAGCTTTATTTTCTGTTGTATAGATGAAGGGTCTAAGAGCTTCGAATTTTTTCGAAACTCTTCAGAAATAAATTCTCTGAAATGCCTCTTGTAGTCTTCCTTGCCAACATGTTTCACTACAGCTTTGAGAAGATGCCGATATTCCCTCATAATATGCATGACTTACACCTGCTATTTTCTTCAGCTGCCTTCTTAGATATTATATAAATCTGGTAACAAAATGGCAAAATAGAATATTAGATGAACTTAACTTGTATGCAGGAAGGGAAGAAAGTTATTGCGGAAGTTTACCAAGAATCACAGATTCACATCAGCCCTCAGCCTATCTATATCGCAGCCAAGTGTCACTATATTAACAAAGAAATATCATCACATAGTGAACACCACGTCTGAAACCAACCAAACATCCAAATCGAGCGAATGAGAAAGCTAGTAACAAGAGACTGAATCTGACCAAATACTCAGCTTAGTTTTCACCCAATTGAATAAGCCAAATATGTATGAGCCAACCAAAGTCAAACGTTCAATTAGATAAGTTTAAAAGTGTAGCTGAATCTTTAACCTTTAGATCAGACCAAAACACTGGATATACACAACCATTCAACCAAGGACAACGGCATCTAATTTTTGCTAGAAAACAAGAGAGAAAAGGATGAGTTATTCTAGGAAACTAAAATATCCATAAGTTTGAAACCAGAAGAAAATGTAACTGGGCTCTTCAAGAAGCCTTAAACACTACCAATATGAAGCAAAGATTAACAACTGAAACGGTGCTAGAACCTAGAAGTAAAACTAGACCAGGTAAACAAAATACGTGAGAAATCCGTGGAAAGGTAAAATCTAGTGAACCAACAGAATTCAACCCTAAAAACAAACCTATTTCTTACGCGGGCATCGTGAGAACCACAGCATATAGATATTACTAAATGAATTTATTTCCCTTGAACCGCAACAGATTGAGACATCAAGCAAACAACACATGCGCAAATCCATAACTACTCCAAGTAGCGTAACCCGCAATAGCAAAAGAAAATGGCAGACAAATACTTAAACGAGGAGAGATAATGGGACAATGCCGTGAGTTAAACATCTTTACATTCAATTACAGAGGCCCGTCGTGACCCATGGTTCTAACGAGCATTTTATCGAACATCCTTGAGACAAACTAAAAGCAGTATGAAAACATCACCATCGTCTTTAGAGAATCCAAAGATAAGCCCCGAAACAAAGGAGACAAACGGAAGAACCAAACTAGAAGAAATAAAATCTGGAAATATGTTTAATCATGAGAATCGCGAATTAAAATCAATTCAGCAAGTTCTACAAACTGATGAAATGGAACACGAATGCGCGAAGAAAATAGTTTCCTGTATGAGAACAATTTACCGCTCGAAGTGCAGATTCCCCCGTAAGGGAGAAAGTTGGAAACTCGCGGCGATGTGAGAGTAGAGGCGATTCTTAAGGGCAGAAGCAGAAGGCTGAGACGAAGAGAAGAACATAAAACCGAATACTTTTTTACATTGTTCGATCAGAATCGAAATATAAAATTAAAAATTAAAAAAAAAAATTATTAAAATTTGAAGTAATATTATTAATAATTCGTTGACTAATGAATTTATGAATTTCAGTGGATCTCATTATTAATTTATAAATAATGTATAATTATTAAAATTTTACTTAAAAATATTAATTTAGTCGCCATTATTGATGAATTTCTTTAAATTTAATTTTCATAAATTTTATGAACTTAATAGTACAGGGAATATAAAAGTTTTCAATTATAATTCACCATTAATAGTTGATTTCAATTATAATTTATATATTTCTTTGAAAAAATATTTAACAATTTTAATTTAAGTATAAAATGTAATCTAAATTATGTCAACTCCAAACGAAGGAGAGAAAAACGGTGCGTTTTGTTGCAGCTTTCTTCTTCCAGCGTTTGCCATATAAGAAAAAAAAGCAGCGAAAGGAACTGAAAAAACGAAGAGAAAAAAACAAAGATAGAAAAACGATCATACAAGCTCGACAGACCATGTCGCGAGAGAGACCTAGACGAGCTACTTTGCCTCCTGTTCAAGAGGTACGACTCTAAAACTTCCGATCCATCCTTTATCTTCATTGTTTGGTACCTAACAAAACGACGGAACTAGAGGCGAAAGTTTCGATCTCTTCACGTTTCGATGCTGTTATTGTCCGCGAAACATCAACTTTAACCTCCGCTAAATAGTTGAATGGGCATTTCTTTTTTTACGGATAATCTTATCAGTAAGGCGGAGCGCAAATTTGGTTTTCTCGGAGAGCAAACAATTTTATCCTTCTATGATCAAATTTTGATTTTTCGTTTAAGAAATTGAAGATTCGAATAGAGTTTGCATTAACTTAGACTGTGTGGGATTTTTTTTAATGAAATATTTGACTTCATAATTTTTTTTCATGTTAAATGCAGCACATTGAGAAATTAGAGAAAATTGTAGAGGAAGGTAATTTCTATGGAGCACAACAGATGTACAAGTCTATCAGTGCACGGTATTTTGCATTTTGGATTATTCTACTCACTGTTATTTTGAGTTTTTTTTTTTTTTTTTCATTTTAAATGTTTGAATAAGCTTGTCTTGGTCTTACCTGATTCTGCTCCTTGTCTATGTGGAATAAAGTGTTTTACTTGTGTATTTGGAAGGGAAGCTTCTCTGAGTTGGGTTGAGGGAGCAGTGCTTTTTCTTTTCGTCTCAAAGTTTTGGGAACGGATTTTCTTATGTAGATGGCTTAAAAGTCAAACCTGGCATTCACTGACTATCTTAGCACTTTGTTGTGTGTTTGACACCATTGCTTGTGTATTTATCCTAAACGCATTATCCTGTACCTAAACTTATCCTGAAGAGCAAACACTTGCAAACTAAGTGGTGCAGTGGACTTCATATATGTATACATTCTGTTTTTATCTCCATAATCATGTAAAAGTTTCTTTCTAATATCAATTTGAGGCATTTGTGCTGACGCACATGCAAACTTTACCTCAGCTATGCATCTGCTCAGAGATTTTCTGAAGCTTTGGAGCTCCTTCAGTCAGGTGCATGCCTCCAATTGAAACATGGCCAGGTAATTCTCTTTCTAGTTGTTTTGTTCCTAGTTTGTTATGGAATGTTTGTTAATCTTATGTGCTTAAACCATCCTGGAGGTTAGGAGGCAGTTTGATTATGAAGTAATTAGATGCAAACTAGATACCGCAAACCTAGTTTAATTCCCTTAAGCTGCATAAAATGTTATACTTGCAAACTTACTCTGGATGGACTTGTAGTAGTAAAAACCTTGGCATATTACCAGAATTGACAAGTACGTAAAGTTGGTTAGTATGGATCTGATCCCTGCCATGTTGATGATTGATTGACTCAAAGACTTTTGTGCATCAATTATCTATTCATGCTATTGGCTTTCTTGGAAATTAAAAAGAAAAATAAATCCTTCTTAGTTCTGACTACATTGTTGGGCTCTCCACAGACATATACATTCATTTAAAAAGATATCCAGATGATACAACTTCATTGGAATCTATCTTTAACAATCCAATGCATGCGACAAACAGTGATCATCCTGGACTTCAATCTTCAGTTATAGAATTTGTAGGCTGCACCAGGCAATCTATTGAACTTGATTCATTGAATTTCCTTCACTTTATCAAGTTTATACCATGCTAATAAGCCAAACCTATGTGAAATGTAAACTTTCAGCCTCTCTTCTTCCTTTGGTGACATTCATTGACGTTATGTCTATTAATTCTTTCAGATTACTTGTGGGGCGGAGCTTGCTGTTTTGTTTGTGGAGACACTTGTTAAAGCAAAAATTCCTTATGATGATGAATCCCTTGGTTAGTTCATGTCTTTGATGATTATCTCATGACAAATATTTAATTTTTGGTACCTGTAACTTAAGTTCATGTTCCTTCATTGCAAACATGACCGGCTGGTTTTATAATATAGGTTGTCATCATTCTTGCTTTTGTCATTCTCATGGGCATGAACTTAGTTTTTCTAACATTGGTTTTGTCTCTATGGTTATTACAATACATATGTTAGACCGTATCAGGAAAATCTACAAGACATTTCCTCAGATACCTGTTCCGCATCACTTGGGCGACTTGGGTGATGACGATGATGTCCAGGAGCTTTCTGAAGCCCTGGGAGCAGCAAAAACACGTGTGGAGGGCTGTTCATCATTCTTAAAAGCTGCTATAAAGTAAGATATTATGCATTTTTATGTTTGTGGATGTAACCTTTAGCTCATTCTTATATCTACTAATTATCGTACCTGTTTGTCTTGGGCTTGGTAAGATGGACAAAATTATGACCTTTGGATAGTGGGTTGCTGGCATAAGAATGAAAACATGAAAACCAGAGGCAGATTAGAAGTCTTCCTTCTTTTTATAGTTTTACTATCTTTTTTAGCACTAAATAATTCTTGTTAACTGATGTTTCCAAATTTGCTTTTCAGGTGGTCCTTGGAGTCTGGAGCTCCTAGGAATGGAGCCCCAGAACTACATGTTATGCTGGCTGAATATTTGTATTCTGAATCTCCTGAGTTGGTAGGTCCTACCAAAAAAAAGTAACTTGATTCATTATCATCATATTTTACTTGATCCCCATTAGTAGGGTGAAAAAAATGCAAAATTGCTCAATAAATGAATGCTTGGATACATCATATAAGATGTGTAAATGAATATATATTGATGTATTGGCTTGCACTTGCAAAACTGAGCCAGGAGGTCTTTTGAATTGAATCCACATAATCATTTCTATGGATTTGAGCCTGTGTTGAACCTTCTGCAGAATCTACCTTCAAATTGCACAATGGTTATTAGCATGTAATGTTCGATATATCATTTTTGGAATGGTTTTCAGTGGAAGAATCTGTAGCATATTGTTCCCATTGCATTATTGATGTGATTATAGAGGCTTACATTTTTAAGGGATTCAGAAAAATTTTCTGATGTTATGGTTATTTTATCCTAACTTATTGAGTTACGTGAAACCCAAAAGTCCATTCCATGCTTTGCATACCTTATGGAGTTAATGTTTTGTTTGTTTGTAGGACATGGCTCGAGTATCACGTCATTTTGTTAGAGGAAACAACCCAAAGAAGTTTGCATCTATTCTAATTAATTTTATGAGCAAGGTTAGCATCCACATATTTCAGAGACATGTATACGTGATTGTATACCTATATTTGGTATTTTCTTGCTGTTTGGAAAGTATGCCAGTGATGTTGTATTGTACACAGAGTGAAATCATATTGTACATGTGGATGATGGGGCATTTTTGTTACGTCTACTTATCTTTATGTTATTAGTGCTACCAAAAAAATTGAATCTCTAAGCAGTTGCACTTAGAGTAACTTAGTCTTGAAATTCTGAATATGCTCCAAAGAGAACATAATTAAATTATATGGATTGCCACATGCTATCCACTTTGTCAGATAGTTGTTCTTTTTTCCTAGGATAACTTATAAGCTTAATTGATATGCTTCTTAACTCACAGTGCTATCCCGGTGAAGATGATTTGGCCATTGCACGGGCAATTCTAATGTAAGCTTGCTGAAGAACCCTATTTGAGAAGCATTACCATTATCATTAAACATTCATCAGGATTCAGGGCACTGCAACGCTTAATTCACTGCCATAAGTTTAAATCCAAGTGTAATTAACATTTCATTTTGGTCTTATATAGGTAGACTCCCATTTAAAGGTGGAATGTTTAGACATGGGATCCAATTTCTTGCGTCGGGTCCCACGCATTTCAAATACTAGGCTGAATAGAGAATGGGCTGCATGTATATGGAGATTAAAAGCTGATTAATATTATAAATACAAAATATAATAATTTCTTATAATAAAATAATAGGAATTCCATCATGTAAATTTTGGTGCATATGCAGTGGAGATTTCTGGTAAGATTTTTGAATGAACGACTGGATAAGGAATCAGAATTGCTTAGAGAAAATCAGCGTCATGTATTTGTTAATTTGTCGCTGATTAATACAGTTTTATGTGAGATTAGAGATTCTGCAACATTGTGATTTCAGGATAAGAAATACGAAGATGGGGTTCTGCTGCTAAAATTAAGGTGCATACAATGTGGAAATTAAAAATTGTTGGATTTTTAAATAGTGATGGATGAAGAATCAGAATATTGAACTCGCATTTTTGACATACATTCCCATTATCTTACAATTGGTGAACTAAAATGCATATATGATGTAATAGAGACAGTCATTTCAATTGCATATGATACAACAAAGTCTGTCATCTATTTACGTAAATCTGGTCTTACAAGATGATTGAACTCCATACTTGTGCATATAGAAAAATTGTTCGACATGTATTGTAAATATTCTTTTCCATGTAGAGATATATGCAGCATAATTATTTTTGTGAAGGTTCAAACTGAAAATGAATGTGGTATCCCATGACAGGTATTTATCTCTAGGTAATCTGAGAGAAGCTAATTTTCTAATGGACGAAGTGAAGAAACAAGTGGAGTCTAAGCAGGTGGAGCTTTCTCAATCAGAGTTGATCCAATTTATTACTTTTCTTCTGCAGACGTAAGTTGCATTTTCTTTCTTCTTTCGATTCAGTATTTGTTTATTCTATATGCAAGAAAATCTTATTTTTGCTGCAAGGCATGAATGCTGACTTCCCTATAAATGTCGGAGTTTGCTGCTCCATTGTTGAGCAGAGAGACGTTCTAAACATATTGTATTGAGGGCAATTTTGAATAATGGAGAATTGTATGCTTATGTTTTGCCCCCCTTTCCACCATTTCCAAGGGACATTACAGAATAAATTTTATAACATACAATAAGTTCCCAACCTTGGTATTTGAATCTAACAAAACTATAGATGACAACTTTGGAATCTTTCCCATCCTTCTCCTGCACGAGGAATGAGGGTAATGAGCTAGATATGGCATTTTTTTTCTGGACACAGATTATTTTACATTCTGGATATTGGAATCTTAAATAAACTATAACTTTGACAACTTTTCTTCGTTACTCTTAAACAGTTCCATGTCTTCTGATTCAATCTCTACCGCTCTCAATTCCCCATTCTTTTTGTGTGTTCTATAGCAACCTAGTGTACATGTCAAAATTTTGAAAGGGCTGCCTCCATTTTGTTGAATTTAACAAAAAATTATATAGGTAGTTATTACTGAAAGTCATTGTGATGCAGGTTGGAGAGGGACGCTTTGCCTCTTTTTAACATGTTGAGGGCAAATTACAAGTCAAGCATAGACAGGGAACCTGCTTTTAACGAGGTACACAATTATCCTTTCTAACAGGAAATTTCTTTTCTGCTTGTTTATAGTTCTTGCGTCCCTGTGGCTACTAGCTATAGTATATATATATTTTTTATCCTTATCGTGCTACTATTAGTTTCTTTATTTTCACCGGCAAGTTTGGCAATGCATGTATATTCTAACATGAAGGTTATGTTTCAGTTGCTAGATGACATTGCAGAGTTGTTCTATGGAGTGCAACGTAGGAATCCCTTGCAAGGGATGTTTGGGGACATATTAAAGGTGCTTATTCTTCTTTTTCCATATTTCTTTCAGGAATATTTGGCCCCAGCTTTGTGCTTCATAACCTAATTCTTCAGAAATTTTAAGATAAAATCATAAGTTTTTTTACTTCAGCATTTTAAATTTTGTGATTTTATGCAGTGACATTTCCATATAATGTGGTTTGTTTTTTAACCATTTTATCTAAAATTATTAGTTTTTTAGACAATCATCTTGTAGTTTTTTAGTTTCTTCTCTCCAATAATAATTTATTTAGCCTTGAACTCCCACTTGTTCGTGTCCGAAAACCTACATGTAAATATTCTTTAAAAAATTATTAATTAGTTATAAAATGTTAAAACCAAACCTCAAGGTACTGAAATAGTGAAAAATGTTACCAGACACTACTGTTTGAATCGCATAAGACCGATACGCATGAACTGAAACTGTAATTTTTCCAAAATTTTCTTCTTCTTACAGATTTCTTAAGAGTCCATTCAATGCATAATGTAAAAGAATGACTATTGGACTGGTGCGATTGTTAACGATATTACATGTGTTAATAACATATTCCCCTTCAGTGTCTTTGCTTGTGCATGTTTTTCTTGGTGCAACTAAATCAGATTGCTTATTTCGTAATCAGTGTTCTAACCCCGAATGTTCGCGTCAACTATGCAGATGATGTGATGAGCAGTGCGTCGACAATGGTTCAATCATGTACCTCTGCATTTTTGTTCGTTGCAAGTGTTTAATCTATTACCATAGTGAAAAGAGAGTTATTTTGGTCAATTCATTATCGTTGTTTTTTCAAAATATTTTGTAAAGGAAGATTGAACCTCATATCTCAAGCTCGCTCGCTAAACAGCATTTTATGCCATTGGGGGTCAACAGGCCATGGCATTTGTAATTCATTTTTTTTTTTTTTAAATGGAAAAACAGACTAAATTGCTTACCAGCTCAAACTCATCATTTAGACGTATCGATAGAACTATCAAGCAGTTTAATGAATGATAAATTACTTCTTGGCTGGATGATTAGTACTTATCATGCACTTGTTAATTTAAAATTTATGTATTAAGACTGATAAATCAGTTAATTCTTCTCAAGTCGTGGAGCATTCATATTTATATACACACACACACACTGTATTGATTATCAATAGCAACTTTTAACATTATGCATCATAGAGTGAAGCTAAGAGATCCTCCTAGATGCTACATTAAATATGAGATGATATTTATATATTGCTGGAGGAGTAAAACAATACAAATAACTTATACAAAAAGTTATGCTGTTAAGTTGAAGACTTGTTTTTGTTAAACTTCCCATATATATATATACACACACACACACTGATTAAATTGTAAAGATAAAGCACTATACATTTTTACACGCTAGTAATTCAAAGCGAAATGCTGACTTTTGAGGTCCGATTTACAAGTACATATACTACTCTACACACATACCCTATGATAAAACTAAAATAGGTTGCCCTAAATTTCTCTAATCAAACATGGTAAAATAGTTTAAATAGAAGAGGAATGTTAGTTTTTAAAAGAGTTCTACAAACTTTTGTAGAAACCATTTACAGCTGCGCAACTGCTGTAAACAATATCAACTGATTAATTTAATGAAATGAGTGTCTAAATACGAAGTTAAATTCAACCTGTAAGTAAATTTTATATATCTCTTTGTACAGCCAACTTAGAAAATTTTTAGATATGACACGTTTACAATCATTTAAGTGGGGACAATTACCAGAGAGAATTGAGGATACTGCATATATACGAGAAGTATAAGACACTACAGTACAGCAAGACAGAAATAATAGATCATAGTTCAAACCTTCTTTAACTCAACCAAAAATTTTTGAAGATCTTCCAACTTCAAATTCGAGAGACCTGCAAAGCGGGAAAAATATTTATTATAAAAAACTGAATCCCTAATCTCTTACCACTACAGAAACGTGTAGTTAATGTAATTGTTACCTTTGTCATGATGCTTGAGAAAAGTATCTCTGTCTGCGTTGTAAATCCTTTCCATTCTAGCACGCTCAATATCATTCCAGCGTCTGGATTTTAACTTTTCCATTTTCTCACGAAGTTCTGATGCAGTTTGAGTCATCTCTGAGGAAAGCAAATAATGAGATTAAATACTTCAACAAGAACAATATTCTGTTAAAAAAAAAGGTAGTTATTTGCGAAACTTTATTAAATAGCAAAGAAAACATTCAAGGGTTCCCAGGATGACAATGGCAGATAAAAGAATCCATCTAACAGTTACAAAAGCTTCCCGTAGAACTAGTAAGAAGCATAGATTGTAGTAAGAAATTTAATTTAAGTGCTTTGCGTTGGGGAACATTCTTTGTTGATTTACAAAGATTTTTGTACATGACAATATGAGGAAAGGGAATTCTATTTAGATATCATACCTAGGGTTTCTTAATCATCACATCTAAGAAGTCTTAAGTATCACACCTAAAGGTTTACTTGCATCACACAACCATAAAAATGAGAAACTCTCAAAATTATTATTTAACAATTGAACTATCAATAAGTGAGAGCTATTTGTAATAATTTCTAAGTAACTTTTCCAAATTAGAATTAAAGTAAGAATAGTAAACTAATATAATTAGGAATACTAATTCTAATAAAAATAAAATACTAATACTAATAATTTTAAAAATACTAAAAAGAATAAAAAATCTAAATTACTGAAACTATAACAATACTTCTAAATAATATAATAATAAACTCTTAGTTAGTATAGTTGTTTTATATTTAATATAATTACAATTTCTTAAGAAATCTAATGCTAACCGATTCTGCATCTCTTCTGTATGGCTGTAGGTTGATCAATTTGTTGTCATAAAAAAAGACATGCAAACTATGAGTCAGTGACTGAGTGCTAAAATATAGCAAACTACATGATTCAGTATTGGCAATTTACATTTCGATACGAGTACGTAGTTGAACTGGCTATTTAAAATGACAGCTATAGGGACTAAACTGAACTAATTCAAATTAAACCAATATTCTCAGATAACCTATGTACACAGATTAAGTGGATGTCAAAGCAATCATCAATAATAGAAAATGTGAATAAACAACTTATTTTCCTACCTTGGAACATGTCGTTCACGGAATTTTGTTCATAAAACTGTAAGGCCTTATTAACAAGTCCTGTGGAAAGATTGCTTACAACAGACTGTCTTTCTAATTCTTGAAGCTCAGAATTAAGCTCAGCAGATTTCTTCCCTGCCTAAATACTGAATTCTATCACAACAGAATCTCCAGAAAACATAAAGAATGCATTATCCCAAATAAATGCAAGTTCCAGAGTATGAAACTTCTTTTTACCAAAGTAAGCTTCTCCCTTAACAAGGCCAACTGTGCATCGAGATCTGGATCACAAATGGCATCTTGACAGGTTGAACCATCATCCGGTAACTCATTCTAGAAAACATATATTTGACGTGTGTTATATGTGAAAATGTAAAAAAAAGCAATAACAGAGTTACTTTTTCCTGAATAATCAAGTTTCTATGCTAAAATTAGAATGCTAGCTGAGCTGTGAAAAAAAGATGGAATAACAACTAAATTGAGGAAATCCAAAAAATGAACTCCTAGAAGAATTAAAACCTCTTACAAAGCAGGTTGATGCAGTAGTTAATGGAAATAATTTCATTTCTAAATTCAATAGCCAACTTTCTCTAGAAATGACTATTTACTCTGATTAGCACAATGCCATAACTAACACATCCATATTCAACTTAAGCACTTACCCTTTAAGCACTAGCCTAAGCACCAATCACCTTATCACCAACTCCCAAAACCATGCTTTAGGGACTAAACTCTAAAGCCAAAGTCTTCTTACATTTACTTGTTTCCCAGTTATTACAGCTCAAGCCTTATACAAGATTTCTTGTCCTCCTTTTAAAAGAAAAAGGAAAAAAAAAGGTGGTTTCGCCATTTCCCTAAAATAGTTTTGCTAATGTAATCAAACCACACAAATCGCCTCAGGTGCAGATGTAATTGTAGGCAAGTCACGTATATAATAGTATTATATTACAATGAAAACATAATTCATACGTTATGCTATATACAAATATATGAAAAATAAATTATTCTTTTATCAATGAGTGGCCATATATATCCAGTAACATTAATGATTGGTTGACGAAGTACCAAGTCAACCCCGTGAAAGCCCTAGTTATTCTTTTTCTCATGGATTTTGTTGCTCAAAACTTCTGTTTGAAGGAGGGAGGGGGTGGCTTGGCTTCTACCTTTTAATAAAATGACTAAGTGTACCGTGTGCTAGTAAGAGCTTAAGAATCTAAAATGAATCACACAGAACAACCGGCAACAATACCACAATATTGAACAATAAAGCCACTAACATAAAAAAAAAAAAAAAAAAAAAAAAAAAAAAAAAAAACTTGAGAGCAGAATTACAAGAAGCAGCAGTAAAAGATTACCATGCAACAAAACCAATCAAGAAGTGAGTAATGCAAAAACCAACAGATAGAAACCTACACTTTTAAGCAAGGAAAACCCTTCGGGAACAGCAAAACAGTGGCGAAGACAGTACTGTTCCCACATTCCCAGCCCGCTTATCCAAAACTGATTGTATCATGTTTCGGATATAAGTAACTCCCTGTGAAATTAAAAAACATCTGTAACAACAAACCTTGGCAAGTGACGAAAGCAACAAATCAAATCCCCCGGTGTAATTCGAATTCACCTTACCATTCGTTACAACACAGTCTAATATAAATTGGGATGTTAATTACCCGAGATTAAGGATGGATAAAGGAGAAAATGTAAACACGAGGGATATAGTCGAAACTTACCTCGGTTAGATCCTGGGACCTATCGGTACCCTCGATTTTCAAAAGGGCTGACGCTTCCCTGCAGGAAAATCCCAACACAAATTCAACTCAATTCTAAGAAGAAAATGAAAGGCGCGAGGTAATTGCATACGAATATTTGGTGTGAGAGAGAATTACTGGTGGTAGAAGTTGAAGGCATCGTCAACCAAATCGTCGACGGTGTTGAGGGTTTCGTTGACGAAGAGTTGCGGCTTTAGATTAAGAGAATCAAATACGGCTTCACCTTCGCTGCCTTCCATTTCCTCTCAGCACCTAGTGCCCACGAATTGTTCAGATCGATAGTGTTTTCGCGTCGAGCAACATGTTAGGTTTTTGAAGTTTAGGCACGATTTTCCCGCCATAAATTCCCTTTTTTCAGATTTTTTTTTGTTTTTTTTGAGAACTTCTGAAAATATCGTAAAAAGGAGGAACACAAAAATAATTGTTTAGAACTCTGTATAAATTATTGGAAAAAATTCATCATACTAAATTTTAATTTAAAAAATAAGAATCTCAAATATAGCGCGACATTCTATCTAATTACGCTATATTATAAATCGAATTCTGAATTTTAAATCTATTTAAAAATAATTACTAAAGTTCAACGAAGAAGCTATTCACAGTATACATCATTCAAGTATTTCTGGACAAATTAAATTGAACACGAATATCAACTTAAGTAGTAACTGTAATCCAAACTTATTATATTAATCTCGATATTTTAAAAGAGAAACTAGCTATTGCGTGATATCATGAATGTCTCTGCTGCTACTCCTCGATTATAAAGAATACTCCATTTTCTTTAACAAAACTGTGAGTAGTGTGATCCACAACCTGTACAATATCAATCCATAGTTAAATCTTTTTCCTATCATTGTTGTAACACAGTAATATGCAGGCATAAACATATCAAAAATCTTCGTGCTTTTTACATGGAAAGTGAGAGCTGCAGCATTAGACTTTTGAATACAGCATACAAATATATATATATATATATATAGATACAAATTATTGACTGTCTGGATATATTCATAAAAAAACAATTCAATTCTTAGGGTTACTTCTTTATTCTCTCACAGGCAGAGACAGTAAACACCCATTTATATTTACTCTTGCAATTTACTAAAATATAGAGGATTGATTATCCAAGAATACTTCTTATATTTAAACAGGTGTTGAGCTTGAGCCCCCCCCCCCCCAAAAAATAGCTTCTCGAGTCTCATCTATGATCATAAATTATACTTGTACTAGCAAGGAATACGTATCTTCAAACTGCATATGATATCATTCTACTGAAACTTCTTGCCTATTTGATAAATTATCTTTCTTTTTTTGCGATAAGCAAACTTTAATGTTTCATCCGGCAAGTCTTGAGTTTTATGTTAAAGTGAATAATCCAAATCAATGAAAC